ATTGGCTAGTTGAAATTTTTGGGAGGTTGATTATTATTGGTTAACAATATGTTTCAAATAAATTTTAAATAAATTATGGATAAATTCTAAATAAATATGGATAAATTCTGAATAAATTATGGATAAGTTGTGAATAAATTATGGATAAATTTTGAACAAATTATGGATAAATTCTGAATAAATTATGATTAAATTTTGAATAAATTATGAATGGATCCTGGATTGAAATCGAACCAGGACGCTGAGAGCCACACGAAGATGGTGGCGACGATGAGGAAAGATTATTGGTCGTCCGTCGAACTTGTTGAAAATAATACGGTGTGTTGTTGATGTTGTTGTTGTTGTTGTTGATGTTGTTGTTGTTGTTGATGTTGTTGTTGATGTTGTTGTTGTGGTTAATGTTGATGTTGTTGTTGTTTTGGTTGATGTTATTGTTTTAGTTGATGTTGGAGTTGTTGATGATGTTGTTGTTGATGTGTTTTTGTTGTTGTCAATGTGTTTGAGTTGCTGTTCTTGTCGATGTTGTGGATTGTTGTTTTAAGTTTTTTATTAATTAATTAAATGAATAATCAATTTATTTATTCATTCATTCATTCGTTCGTTCGTTCGTTCGTTCGTTCTTTCGCTCGCTCACTCACTCACTCACTCACTCACTCACTCACTCACTCACTCACTCACTCACTCACTCACTCATACAACAACAAAAACTCAACAACATCAACAACAACATCAACATCATCTTCGACCTCAACAACAACAACAGACTGAACACGACGAACAGGTGTCCATGAAGTTGGTCATCTTCGAGGTCAGCGAGAAGCATTTTATGAGGTACGAGTTCAATGCCGAAAGCGAACTGGGCAAGTCCACTCATGTCGTCAAATTGGAAAGGGGTTAGTTATTGTGGTGGTGGTGACGGGAAGGTGCTGGGAGGGAGGGACGGGCTGGTGGGGGGAGAAATGATGATGGTGGTTGTGATGATGGTGATTGTGATGATGATGGTTATCGTGATGATGATGGTGGTGATGGTAGAGATTGTAATGTTTCTTTCCTCAAATTCCGATTTTTCAATTTAAATCTTTTTGAATTTGACACTGAACCTATTGCTTATATCTTTCCATTCATTTATGGTGATGTTGTTGACGCTGCAGTTGTTGTTGGGTTAGAGTTAGGGTTAATGTCAATGTTTATTCATATACGATGATGACGTTGATGATGACATTATTGTTGTTGTTGTTGTTGGGGTTGTGGTTGTTGTTGATATGTTGTTACCTACATACCCCCCCCCCCTCACTTCTCAGATGACAGCACCCAACCAATGTCAGACCAGTCAAGGTCAGGGTCTCTGGGGTCACACATGCATACCTGGGTTTCTGGCAAGGGTTTTGGCAGAAAGATTTTTACCTGGGCTTTTTACGTCATAAATTTTGCTTGCGGCACGTTTTTAGT